TTTTTGAAAAAAAAAATTGATAGAGTTTGATGAGCAGTGCAGATCATACACTGCATGCAGAAATCATTTCTGCATGCGGTGTCCGTATGAAATAATTTTTCCGGAAACAGAGCGCCTGGGAATAACACTAAAGCGCATGTTAACAAAATGTGTAGTTCATCCATTAAAGGATCGTCTTCGTTGCTCAACTTGTGCGCGTGTTAAAGATGGATTCACGAGTTCTTTTGTTTTTTGGTGGGTTTTTTTTTTTTTTTGAAAAAAAAAATTGATAGAGTTTCATTTGACTCGTTTCCCTTGCTGGAGGTTAGGAATCGGAAAGGAGTGTGCGTCTCGGAAGCTCCTGTCTTGGATCCAAAGCCACTTCGCCTACTCCTATCTCAACAGTCATTTTTGGAGAAGGGGCAATTGTGATGACTACGCAAGTTCCATTGCTAAAATTCATCCTGTTCCAAACCCCGATGAAGGAGATAGCTCAGGGCAAGTCTTCCGTTCCGGCTGAAAGTCGGATGCAGGTAACGTTAGGGCAGGCTGCCCGATGTGATGCTGTTGTGCTAGAAGCATTCCCATTCCATACTTGGATGAAGGGGGTGCTTCGAGCTTTGCTACTCCACTCATTCGGCCACTTGAGTTGGCTGCTGATCTTGAGGTTCGAGTGTTGGTGGATGATTTGTTGGGAAAGATTGTGCACTCCCTTCAAGTACCACACAAGTTAATTTTGCAATCTTGCTTGCCATCCTAAAGTGAAGTTCTTGAATTTTTTGTTGCACAAATTTTCAGATGAACTCTACATTAGAGGCCTCTCCTTGTTATGTTCATTCACCTTAATGTTCTCCTCATTTTTGTTGAAGGCATGGCTCTGTGCTCACCGACTTCGACTTCTAATAATTTTTTTCTCATGAAAATGTTGTTTAATATGAAGAAGATAGATGATAGTTAAATGGTTGGGCACTTGAATAACTTCAACATTTGTGACTAATTATTTATGTTTTATTGGCATCAAATTCGATGATGAGGTCAGGGCACTATTACTCCTATCTTTATTGTAATACTATAGTGATGGAATAGTCACTACGACGAGTAACTCTTTATGTAACTTCAAATTAAATAACTTCGACTTCTAACGACGAGTAACTCTTTATGTAACTTCAAATTAAATTTTGATGATATTATGAGGTTAATGCTGAATGCAGAAGTCTGCAAGAAGGTGAGCGAATAAACTTCAAATTTTGCTTTAAATGTTGAAAATAAAAGAAGGAATTTGGAGAAAAACATAAGCAAGGAAAGAATCAAATCTAGTAAAGGAAATTTAAGTTGGAGAGAAAATATTGGAACTGCAAAAAGAAATGACACTTCAAGAAGGACTGAAAAACTACAAAGGTTGTTGGTGGAGGTCTAGATAGAAAGCTCTTAGAGATATCTCCATAAATAAAATCCAAGGCGACTTCCTTATTTTCTCCCTAGACAATGTTGAATTTTGGATAGTATATTTATATGACTCTTTCATGCATGCCCCAATAAAGAGATGTTTAAAAAATATACTCAAAGTGATCTAGGAAAGTTGCATTTGGAAGATAATAAGATCTGCAGTTGGTTGGAAATAGTGTTTTTGATATTGTCATATTGGTTACTCTGGAATGTCAATGAAGTTAAATATGTTTCATGTTTGAAGAAAAAATTAATTTATGTAAGTGAATCTGCAAGGTCAGGATATGTGACAACTTTCATAGGTGATTCATGGAAGTTGACTAGAGAGACAATGATGACAGCTCAAGGTAACATTGAAGGCACCCTTAAGCTGGTCAATGAGATGTTTGAATTTGTTGGTGTAGCTGGAATAAAAAATTGATGTTGGTCTCTGATATTGTAGGCTTGATCATATGAGTGAAAAAGATATGACGTCCCTACTTTTTAAGAACAAACTTCATGGTTTAAAATCTATAGAATTAGTTAATATTGTATTTGTAGCAAGCAAAAAAAAAAACTACATTCTCTATAAGTGGTTCAAAGATGTAATCCAAAATGCTAGAGTTAATGCATATAGATGTATGGTCCTACTCTAGTTTAATTCATTGGAGGTTCTCAAAATTTTGTCACTTTATTGATGATCACACCAGTAAGGTGTGAGCGTAGTTAAAATATAAGATTGATGTGTTTGAGGTATTTAAGAAGTGAAAGACCATGGCTGATAATGAGACAGACTTGAGATTCAGATCAGATAATTGTAGTGAGTATCATGATAAAAGGTTCATAAGTTATTGTGCTTTAGAAGAAATCAGGCATGTGTTCATTATTCCTAGGACACCACAATAAAATGGTGTGGCTGAGGATTATCAAAAAATGGAAATTCATAAGGATCAGGGATGTGACTTTAAATGAATGAGAGATGTACAAAGACACAAACAAAACTTAGGATTGTCCATCAGTTACTTCTCAAGAGCCCGCCAATTTTAAGTTAATGGTGATAAAAAAGATAGAGAAATGAAATGTGCTTAATCTGATGAAGCACGTGAAGTTCCTTAGACACATACTATAGAAGTTTGGAGATTTAGCATATTCACATAATCAATCTAGATGTTTTCTTCATCTTTATACTATCTTTTGTTAACTAGTTAGGGTTTAATTATGAAGAAGCCACTTAAGTTGAAGATCAAATGAGTTGGGATTTATCGTGGATGATGAGATGTTGTCACTAAGATCAAATCAAACATAAAATTTGGTAGAATTATCAGAAGGAAAAAAAAATACTACACAATAAGTGGATATATAGGCTAAAAGAGGAGTTAGATAGTAGCAAACACTGTAAGATGAGGTTTGCTGTGAAAGCATTTCAACAAAATGAATAAGTGGACACTCAGAGATACTTTCTTTTGTAGTGAAAATGACAACTATCAGAGTTGTGTTGAGCTTGGTAGTAGAAGAAGATTTGCATATGGAACAAATATATGTAAAAACAATCTTCCTACATGATGACTTAGAAAAGGAATTGTATATGGTGCAGCCATAGGGATATGAAGTTCTAGAAAAAGAAAACATGGTCAACAAACTGAAGGAAAACTTTTATGGTTTAAAGAAAGCCACAAGGTAGTGAAATATGTGGTTTGACATGTTTATGTTAGATAATGGGTACAAGAAGTCCTAAGGATATCTCTATTATTTCATCAAACATTTTGGTAATTTTTATATAAGATTTTTCTATATATAAATGACATGTTGGTTGCATGAGCATATATGGAGAAAATTATATACTTGAATGAGCAATTGTCAATGAAGTTTGAGATGAACAATTTAGGTACAATCAAAATTTTCTTTGGTATAAGAATCAACTGGGACAAGATTCTATGTTCTTTGAAGTTATCTTAGGTATAATATGTTGATAATGTCCTATATAGGTTCAATATGAGTGAGCCATAGCCAGTCTACACCCACATAGGTAGTCACTTCAAGCTATCTAAGTAATAATCGCTTAAATCTGAAGCAGAGCAAACACAGATGAGAAGAATCTTGTATGCTCTAATAGTTCGAAGTTTGATGTATGCAATGATATGTACAAGACCGGTATAGTACATGCAGTTGAAGTGGTAAAAAAGTACATGAGTAATTCAGATAATCATTATTGGGAGATGGTGAAATGGATTCTTAGATATTAGATAAGAACGATCAATAAGACAATTTATTTTAGAGTGCATGGATTAATCTATAGAGATATATAGATTCAGATATGACAGGAGATATTGATGATAGAAGTACACCATGTTACATCTTTACTTTAAGAACATAACAATGAGTTAGGTTTCTAAGTTATAGAAACATGTTGCAATATATTAAGGATTTGAGTAACATCCATATAAATATGGAATTTTAGACGTTAGACATATAAATACATTAGAATTGTGTAGTGTGTGTGTGTTTATATATATATATATATATATATATATATATATATATATACAACAATGGAGAGAAAACACTTGCTTAAAAAGTGAATCAAATATGAGCCTTTTTAATTTGGAGCTACATACATAGCACTTGAAATTTGCTATTTACAAAATTATCTCCTACTTTCATCCATTTTGCAAATTCTTACTCAAATATCAAAATTCACAATAAAGCTCCAACTCATAGTTTTTTTAAAAATCAAATTCATAATATTTATTCATGGCATGTATAAGTGCAATGGTCTGATAATTCAAAAAAAAATGTCATGATCGTTAATTTTATAAATAACAAAGTTTAAATGTTATGCATGTGACTATTTCCCAAATTATTATATTCATAGCACTCAAAACAAATTTAATCACATATTTACATGCTTCACATCCAGAATATCATATTTAAACATTATGCATGTAATTATCCCTAAATTTTTACATACATAGCAAGTATAAATGTATATAATAACAAAGTTTGGCAATAGAGATTAAGAACCCGTTTGGGGCAACTTATAAGTGCGGGGGTATTTTTGAAAATACCGCGGTTCCATTTGGATCGCGTGTTTTACCCGCTTATCCGAAAATGTGGTTCCATTTTTACGCAAAACGCAGACCTCGGATCGAACCCCACAGTCGACCCGCGAGCCGCATTTCAGGATAAGCTGCTTATCCTGAAACGCATAAGCTGCCCCAAACGCACTAAGCTGCCCCAAACGCAACGCATAAGCTGCCCCAAACGCACCCTAAATGTGGTGCTATTTTTCGTAAGACAATGAGCGTTTCGGGGTGTGATGTGAAAATAGGTTGTTTTGGATGTGAAAATAGGTTGTTTTTATTTTTACTTACGAATCATCCTAAATATTGATATTTATAAATCACCCAGACTTATTTTTTTGAATTATAGAATTAATGTACTTACGTATGTCACGAATAAACTATTGAGAATTTGATAAAAAAAGAAAAATATGTGCCGGGTTTTATCATGAATTTGGATATTCCATTGAGAATTTGAAAATGGATGAGAGAGGGTTGAATTTGTAAATAGCAAATTTGAGATGGGTCTGTATGTAATTGCCAAAAAAAAAAAAAAGAAAGAAAACAACCAAATTTGCAAATAGTTATGTTTTGAGTGCTGTGCAAGTGGTTGTCCCAATTTTTTTCTCCTGCGAGAGGTTTAGGCCTAAAGCCAGTAGGGTTTTTAGCATCGCCGAAGATCAGGAAGCAAAATCAAACCGGCGGTGGCTTCAGTCCACAGAGGCTAATTTTAGGATCTCACCATTGGAGAACAGAGAAGGTTAAGCTCCCAAAGCTAGGATTTTTGAGGATCTCCCGAGTTTCAGAGAGGTTTTACCCTAGTTCGAGAAGCAAAAATGTTGACCGCTTTAATATACCGAAGAAGAGCATCTGTTATCGCCTTCCGATCAATCTCATCCCTCTCTCATCTCTGGCCTTTTTCTCTCCTCTCCTCCCGCGATGTCTTCGCGGATGCTTTCAAAACCTCACCTTTTTTCTCTCTAAGGCGGCTGTTTGCCGTTACAACTGAATACCCGGCGGTGGATACAGTAGATCGCCACAGCCCTTTTAGGTCTTCCGGGGAGTGTAATCAGCTTGCGGGTGACGGATTCAACGGCGGCAGCCCTGATGGATTTCTCAGAGGTAACCCTAATTACCAGAATAGTTACTCGAATCCTGGTGAGTTTCAGATGAAGTTTTCTGGGGAATCCTCTCAAGCTGGTGGTGCTTCTCACCAGAATGGAGAAGCTTGGAAGCAGAATCCTGACTCTAATGGATTAAATGTTGCGGGGCAGCTCATGCCAAACTACAATTACTACAGTGGGAACTCAGGTGGAAATTATCCGAACGAGAGCAGGTTTCTTCAGAATAGCGGACAGGTTCATCAAAGCTCCCATTGGAGCAATCCACAGTTTCAGACCAATTTACAGTTGATTAATGGAGGAGAAGGTGTTTTTCAGAACCCTAACTATATGGAGGGTGGAAATTATCCGAACGAAAGCAGGTTTCTTCAGAATAGCGGGCAGGTTCATCAAAGCTCCCATTGGAGCAATTCACAGTTTCAGACCAATTTACCGTTGATTAATGGAGGAGAAGGTGTTTTTCAGAACCCTAACTATATGGAAACGCCAAGTAAATTTCAGCAGTACCCAAATGAGTATCAGCATGCTTCAATTCCTTCAAATGAGAGAACTTTTTCTTTTTCAGAACTCCCTAACCCTAACAATACTGCTGATAATGGTGATAAAAATCCATACAGTGGTACCATTGATGAGTTTGATGAGTTCTGCAGAGAGGAAAAAGTGAAAGATGCTGTGGAGGTTTTCAATTTATTGGTTAAACGCGGAGTCGCCATTGATATACCTCGATGTTTGCTTTTGCTTCAGTTATTCGTTGATATTAAGTATTTGGAAGCTACAAGACAAGTTCATGATTACTTCTCCAAGATTATAGGAAATGCCAGTGTTCCGGTTTATAACAAGCTATTAGATGCATACCTCAGGTGCAGTTCGATTGCTGATGCTTACCAACTCTTTGAGAAAATGCCTCAACGAAACCTGACATCATGGGACACTATGATGAAGGGGCTCGTTCATGATGGCCTCGGAGAGGAAGCAATCGACCTTTTCACCCACTTCAAGCATTTGGGATTGGAACCAGATGGAGGAATATTCAATACCGTTTTCGCCGCTTGCGGTGTGATTGGAGCCGTCGATGAGGGAATGCTACATTTTAAATCGATGGTGATGGATTTTGGCATCCATCCATCTATCGAGAACTATTCGAGCATGGTCACCATGCTCGGAAGTTGTGGTTATCTAAACGAAGCTTTCGAGTTCATTGAAAGAATGCCGGTGGAGCCGACGATTGATATATGGGAAACCTTAATGAATCTTTGTAGAGCTAACGGCGATACAAAGCTTGGTGATAGATGTGCTAATATTGTTGACTACTACGACCATACGAGATTAACGGAACAGTCTAAAAAAGGACTTTTACCTGTGAAAGCAGTCGAGAACAAGAAGACGAAGAATTCTGACTCGACTGACTTAGCAAAAAGGTTTTGTAGGCAACGGGAGTATCGAGCGGGGGAGAGGTCTCATCCGGAGGATGACTTGGTTTATGAACAGATCAGAGGCCTCTTGCCGCAGCTGAAGGATGCGGGATATGTTCCGGAAATAAAATGTGTGCTGCATGACATTGATAGAGAATCAAGGGAGGAAGCTTTGCTCTACCATAGTGAAAGGTTGGCTCTTGCTTATGCGCTCATGACGACTCCCGCGAGACAAACTGTTCGGATTATGAAAAACCTTCGTGTTTGTGTCGATTGTCATAATGCTTTGAAGATCATATCGAAGATAGTCGGTCGGTTGGTAATAGCTCGGGATGCTAAAAGGTTCCATCATTTTCAGGATGGAGAGTGCAGCTGTCATGATTATTGGTGAAGGTATAACTAACTTTCTAGTGGAAGTCATATAAAGAAGATATATTAATCATCTAAATTCTCAGCTGCTATTTTTTGTAGTTTATGGGTCATTTGTGCTTTTCAGTTTAACTATCACTTTTAAAACATTCATTTTCTCTTATACATCAGCAAAATTTTTTGGGGACAAAAAAATACATACATACCACGCCATTCTTATGTATTTACATATCTAACAATTAGCACATTGGGCGTGTCACCAATTAATAAGCACTTTCTTTGCTTGGTTATTTGTCAGCTGGATGTTTAGGCCAATTGTGTGGTTTGTTTCATCTGAATTGTACAAAATGTTTAACATGCCTTACTTTTAAATGATGATCTGATCCTCTCAAACATTATGCATGTAATTTTTTGTTTTTTTTGTTTTTTTGTTTTTTTGCTTTTATTTTAAAAACATTTTTGTTCAAGTGCATTTTTTTTTCATGTTTTTATTTTTTGCTTTTAAAAACAAATGAATATATTTTTAAAAATACTTGGAACATTTAAGTATTTCTAAGAACAACTAAACTTGTTATAACATATCAAATATGGTTATTTTAAAGTAAAAACATAAACTGAAAGTCATCCCAAATGGCCGCTTTGGTAAATTAATATGTATGAATCTTTATTTTGCTAGTGTAATATCTCTTTCTCATTTTTCTCTTCATTCAAACAAGGTGTGTAATTGATTAATTCATTGTGTAAATTTGATTGGTTAACATTTCATGATCAAAGATTACTTGTTATTGACTAATAGATTATGCTTCTCTCTTATTTTTTGTGAACATTTCAAAGCTAAAAATAGAATTCAATCTGCCTGCTAGTAGTTGTGATCCTCTGTTGTTTAATCATGTACCTGTAAAATTTCTTGTCATAACTTCTCAAGCTTTAAGATTATTGTTGCATCGCATTCAAAGGTAAAAATAAGTATGGTGGAGTAATGGATATAATTGCATGATGGCAAACAGTTTTTTGTTTCTCCTCTCAAATGGCAAAGTTTATATGGGGGCATTTGGGTATTGTTTCAATTTTTTTTCCTTTATTATTTTTTATTTTCAGTGAAACTCAAAGCATGTCATAATATTTGTTTTTTTTTTTTTTGGAATTTGCGTACATACCGCACAATTCTCATGTGTTCATATATTTAACACCGAAAGTTTGATATTTACATTTATAACTTTTCAGTGTTTTGATCACATCAAAACATATGCATGAAAGTGTGTATTTCAATGTAGAAAAAGTTAGATTTAGTGATATTTTTCTTATGTGATGTTAGAGATTCAAGTGTTTTAGAACTAAATGAAAATATGACACTAAATAGGATGTGATGGAGAAAAAGGATTCATGTACCCGACCCCTTGGAGTGGGACTAAGGCTTTGTTGTTGTTGTTGTTGTTGTTGTTGTTTTTGTTAAAGATTTGAGTGTTATATATATAAATATTAATTTTAAAGGATTTTATTGATGTACTTTAAATTAAACTTCAACCGATCTTATTTAGAAGCATTAAATTGAGCTTATTTATAAGATAGTTCATGAACTTTAAATGAAAGTGCACATTGAATTTCTTAATAAGCGTGTTCGCGCCGTGAATCAAATAAAGAGTTGTTTAAACTTGTTAATTTAATAATCAATTATTTATAAAAATATTCAAATTTATTTAATTAGTTAATCTAATGAACGTGAATGGACTCATCGAGCAGAGCTACGTGTGACTTGTCAAACACTCGGTTTATTTGTAGCCCTATATTTTCGTGTGGTTTTAGCTTCTCAGTCATCAATTTTTGTGTCCCCTTTGTGCTGCGTGGAGCTTTCTTCAGGAAATCAACTATCTTAAGAGATGATAGCTGATTGCTATTTTCATTGAGCTTTTTGTGATACATTGAACTTTGAAGAGCTCTTCAATATGGAGGCTTTACAAGTCATATTTTTTATGTGGCATTTGCATACATACTGCACAATTCTTATGTATTTACACATCAAATCATTCATATTTACATATCTTTTTAAATGTGAAATGCACCTTTTCATGAATAGATTTATTGACACCCATTTGTTATAAGTATAAATATTGAACTTTGGGTGTTATATATACTGTAAATACATTAGAATTGTGTGGGATGTATGTAAATTTCCCATTTTTTTTATTGAATACCTGAAAGGAAGTGGAAATCAGGTGGTGGACTGCTTTGGGGATGGTTCAAAAGCTTCATCCAACACTTTTTTTTTCTCAAAAGAAATATGCTATTTTTTTATTAATGTTAATGTTTTAAATCAAATTTTGTGTGTTCAGGGTTCTGCCTGTATCATATTTTTTGCATTCCATTCACTGTTCTCTCAATAGACTTACTGTTTAGGCGGGATCTATCTGATGTGGTTATTCACAGCTGCATACGTTTAATTTTATGCAATTTTCATTTTTTTTTTGTTTCTTTTTTGGAATTAGGTGTAATTTGATGCCACTAATCCTAAATCTAATTTGATTTAGGGGTTGTTTGCTTTGAATATAAAATTTGTGTATTGTATTTGAAATATAGGGGGTACAAAAATTTTGGTATTTAGTCAGGAGTGAGGGTTCGCTAGGAGCGGCGGTGCGGCACTGCAACACAGTTTTTATCAATTTGGATAAACTGTGTTTTAGGAGTTTTTTTAAAAAAATTGACTCTGAAATCTGTGTTTTCTCACCACTTATGGCTAGGTGCGGTGGCAGTTTTCTAGCTGTGCTCTTACTTTTTCACAAACAAAAAAGAAATTGTAATAGACTCAACAGTTTCTGGAACATTAGATTATTTTTCAACAGTTTCACAATTGTCTTGTACTAAGATATAGTTGTCCCAAATATACCCAAAAATGCAGCAAAAGCTTTACATACGGAGTCCGAACGTATCTTTACGTCCACACTTCAATCCCACAAAGCTATGTGTATTGGAGTAGGTCCTTTTTAAAAAAAATAAAAATTTATGAGTCAAAACAAAACATTTTTTAAAGTTTTGTATACTTGTAATAACCTTATTGGAGGCACCTATTGCCTCTGATAGCAGAGTGCGCACACCCGCTTCTTGCTGCTCTTGTTCTGCTGCTTAACCTGCTCCAGCAGTAAGCACAATATAAGATGACCGGTGGATGCGAGAAGAGGAAGAGAGAGAGAGAGCGAGACCTGCATTGTAGAGCATTGCACGCACTGCACAGCCATAAAAAGAATCGGCATAAAACTTGGAGAAAGAGGATGCGAAGAGGAAAATGGGAAGGGGAGCTTTCCCGCGAAGATGACGCCGATGAAATAAATGGTGATTCGTGTGTGCGCTCGCGTAGCTTCAACTTAACATAAAACAAGGAGAAGGACTAATCAAAGCTTGCCACGCTACTCGCAGGATTCTAATCCGACGGCGGCAAAATTGCCGAACTTGAATTTGAAATAGCGCGGTTCGAAAGCAATCTAGGGAAGGAATGTGCCAAAATTAATACAATGCAAAAATGATTTTTAAGGGTGATTTAGGCTCTGTTTGGGGCAGCTTATCCGTTGTGACAACATTTTGAAAACGTCGTCTTACCGTTTAGAAACTACGTTTGAGCAGCTTATCTGAAAACTCGGTTAGTTTTTTACACTAAACACGGAACGGGAGTCGAACCCCGTTGTTCGTGTTTCCAGATAAGCGGCTTATATAGATAAGCACAAGCTGCCACAAACACACCCTAAATGTATAAAAATTACATTTAATTCAACTACATTGTATTTTTCTTCCTATGTCCATCTTTTTAATCCTTTGGGCTATATAACGTTTAATATTTTGTTTTTTTTTACATATATTTTGACATAATTATTTTGCTATTTTTTTTTTCTAAATCTCCTAAGACTTTTTTAATGACTAAATCAACCCTTGTTTGGTACTTCCAAGGTCATGCCCATAATTTTAAAATGTTTATGTTAGGTTTGATATTTTAGAATGGATTAGAAGTGCTTAAATAAAGAGATATTTGCATACGTGCCCCACAACTCTCATATATTTATATATATACCATCTAAACTTTCATATTTACATATATGATGCTCAAATCTTAAACTCCATGTACAAAATATCATCCATTGGCTTATTAAAAGTAAAATAATTATTTTAATGCATAAAATTGCGTGGTATGTATGTAAATTTCCCTTAAATAAATTACTATTTAACCAAAAAACTTAGATTTATTTTTATAGAAAATTGAAAAAAATTGTGGACGTTTTATTTTTGCATTAAAATAATTTTAAAAATATTTATTAATTTACTTTTTAATTTATAATTTATAGAAAAAAATTGAAGACTTAAATATTAAATTGTTTTGGTCTTATTTCAAAATTTTCTTTGATAATTCATGTATGTGACTATTGAATTCTTTTATTAGAGTAAAAAAAACTCTTAATATTACCAAAATTATTTAATAATAATTAAAAATATATATTCTCATGATACAAACATGAAATAGATTTTAAGCATGTTTAAAACATTCATGACATTCATTTTTAATGTTTTTTTCGTGCCATATGTAATAAATAATCCTTCTCAAAAGCTCGAGAAAATGTTCCTTAGAGATTATGTACATTCTGATGAATGTGGTTGACGACGATCGCTCGATGTCATGATTTCTTCAAGAGCTTAAACTTAACTCTTAGCTTATCTTCCCATCATGTTAGGAATGGTGTCCTATATATAGAGTTTTGAGATAGCGCACTTTGATAATTTTTAGCTAAAATTTCATAGTACATCATCAAACAACTCGTTTTATTGCTTCGATGATTGATCTTTTATTTTTACCATTTAAGTGACTTAATGACCACATAATTGAGTGATCTTTGGCTAGTTACATTTCTCTTATCAAAGAAAAATTATTCCATACAGACGGCATATGCAAGATGCATACGCCGTCCGATCTCAACCGTCGATCAGGTGGAAAATGTATTTCAGTAGGCTCTTAAAAAAAAATTTTGGGGCCCACCGAAATATATTTTTCCCCTGATCTACGATTCAGATCGGACGGTTACAGAATATTTTTTCCTTATCAAAACGTTGGATTTGACTAAAAACATTCCAAATTTAGAGATGGCTTGACCTTTCAATTAATATTTCAAAACTTCTAATCATATTTCAAGTGTTTCATTCAAGTTTATCTAGGCTTGGGTTGAACCACTTTTATTATTGTTTCATTTGTAGTGTTATTGTCGTCAATTTGACCATACCAAGTGATCGCAAATTTAACTCTATAATTTATTTTATGATTTGCTATAATATATTTGCTTGATCGTATATATTGATATATATATATATATAT